ACTCAAAGAAATTAACGGGACATGCGAAGAAAAGCTTCATTTATATAGAATAATTGAAGTGTAGGGAATATAATTTAGTCGTAAAAGTGAGATTCTTTCCCTGGCCTCTTCATAGTCCAATCAAAAATCGTATTTCTTAAATAAATCTAATCATTTATACTTTTTAATGAACGACTTGCGATACAGTCTAATCATAATTAAGTTCTAAAATTATTAAATCTAAGTTTTTAAAATTGGATCAATAATTTGATTTATTTTTTTTTTTACTATGCATAAAGGATTCATATAGAAAGAAACAATATTTTTTGGAAAAAAAGGACAGATCAAATTTAACGTGTTGAAAAAGTTTCTTAAAGATGGAAAGTGACATATTAATTTGTGTCTTATTTTGTCTTTATTTAATTAATTTAATATTGATAGAAATTTTGAAAATGATAGAGAAGAAAAATCAATTCACTCAAGTCTATTATTTAAATAAAGCTAATTCTCCAAGTTAAATATATCTAAAATTTTTGAAGTATTTAAATTTTAGTATATAAAGTTGGATTTTAAAATTAATAAAAGGTTAGGTATCTTATTTATTTTATTTTTTGATCAGTACTTCTTCCTAAAACCAATTTAGCTGAGTTATTCATCGTGGTCATTTCCTTCAATTTCAATGATCTTGTTTTAATGTCTTGGTCGTAAAGAAGTTGTTCCACCTTCTTTCTTATCTCTATGATGTCCAGCACAATTTCGGTGATTCGGTGCCGTTTTCTTTGACTTCCTAAACAAATAAATAATATTTTAATAAATGAATAGTAACTTCATTTGACTATAAATAGCCGTGAGGAATGAAATCAGAATATGCATCGCAAGAGGGTTTATCAAGCATTGATAGAATTCTAGTGAGAGAAAAATAGAGTGTTGAGTAAATCTTAAGAGTGTGAGAAAAATATACTGGGGTGGGTATCATCTTTATTTCTTCTTGGTATTACAAAATTTGTAATATTTGAATAGGAAGTGGGTCTCACTGGGTACACTATATTTTACATCTTTTGTGTGATAGAGTGTTGAAAGGATATTGTAAATATCTCGAGATATAGTGGAATATTTTTCAGAGTTTGTCCCGTGGTTTTTCTTCCACATTGGAGGTTTTCCACGTTAAATATTGGTGTTCTTTATCTGCTTATTTTATTCAGTTAGAATAATTCTTAGTATGCTCTGTGGTTGCAGTTTAGTCTGATCTTCCACATCAGAAAAGAATTATTTCTGTTATCCTTCCGTGGCTGATTGTTGGATTGCTGGAGAAGTGTGTATTTGTATTAGTGTTGTAACTGGAAAGGTTCTGACTAAGGAAAGACTTGGTATTGAAGTGATCCGTTGTGATCCACCTTTCTTTCCTGGGAAGTATTCCAGTGCACACTTTACAAGTTACACCGCTGCGCTGTTAGATCTATTTATTAGGTCTGAATTATTGCTTGCCAGTTTACGTCAGATTTTTAATTTACACATCCAAGTTATTCCGCATTTGAGCCCAACAATCTCTCCAGTCCAACCTTCCACATATCACAAATATATGACATATTAACAAATTGATCGCTGAAAAAAGGCCAACACAAGGTGTGCCACCACATACACCTTCTATAGTAGAATTCCACCCACAATGACTAATAAAGCAAGCTATGGCAGGATGGTTCAATATCTTCTTTTGTGGAGCCCAACCAACAATTTTACCTTTGGTTCCTTGGAATTCATTTGGGTATGCATTGTTTATTTTGTTTTCGTTATTTGGACGCACAACCCAAAGAAAAGGCCTATTGAGGAGATCAAGTGCAAGAGCTAATTCTTTGAATTGGATGGGTTCAATTACTGCCAAACTACCAAAGGAAACATATACAACAGATTGGGGTGGATGTTGATCCAACCAAGCTAGGCAAGTAGAATCTTCTTCCCAAAATGAACTTTTGTTGGTGTCACTTTGCATCAATGGGCCAATTGGAAGAAGCTTTGGTGATATGGCTAGTGCTCCAGGCTCAAGATCACAAGAGGTGTTGCAAAGCCACCATTCTCCTAACTTAAAAGTTCGTGTATCTTCTACCATGTGAAGGAAAAAGTTCTTATCAATACTACACCAAGGCAAGTTTGATGTGTCTATCATAGGCGAATTTGGTACAAGCTGAATTTTCTGCTTGCTGGTTGGTAGTCCTACAATGTTAAAAGAAAATTAAGAAAATTATTTGTCTTTGCTTACAATCTGATACAGCGATAGACCCTTTTTATATATCGACAAAATTAGTGAGAAAGAGACTATCTAATCAGAATCTTAAGATTATTAATTAAAAATATATTAAAATACGTTAGACATTATAAAGAGAAATATATTAATAATATTCTATGATAATGTTTTTAATTTTTTATTTCTTAAATCACTGATCTCCAAACATTGGTTAACATTTACCAATTAATAATAACAATATGAGCATTACGAGATTGATGAAAAGACAAAAACCATGCAATTTAACTGCACAGATCGATGGAGAGTCAAACTACAGTTTGTCACTGTATTTTAAAGTTTTTAACATACAAATAATGGATTAATTTATGTAATAGAGTAATTAATCAATTCTTACCAGTTTCAGAGTCAATAATTCCTTCATCAATAAGCCTTGGGATGGATGCAAAAGAGGCCAATGAAGTAGCTGATGCAGGCCATAGAAGAGCCCCTTTAATTCCCAATTTGTTGCCGACATCTAAGGCCCATCCTATGTTTTTAGAGACAAGAAGACAAGTGATATTGTTGTCACCATCCAAAGCATTGATTTCTTGTATAAGCTTGTGAAGCTTAGTAGGCATGGTGCTTCTGAGTGACAAAATTACCTTTGTTTGGTCACTTCTTTCATCTTCTGGATCCAAACCATCTGGGAGAGAGACAAACTTTATGTGTGACCCCAAGTGGTCAATTGCATTCTTCACTCTCTTTTGGCTGAATTCAGTGATTAAAAATGTGATTTTGCAACCTTGTTCTATCAAAACCTGAGAGAACTGAAGAAGTGGATTGATGTGTCCTAGAATTGGATAAGGCATAACTAGAAAATGTGGATGTCTCATTTCTGTTATAAATGTGAAGGGAGAATAGGGATTAGGGAGTGGACATGGAGTAGAGTTATGATAGAAAAATGTCTAAATTTATAGCACGACAAAATTAAAGTACACTATACAAGTATTTTTCACGTTCTTATCGAAACAAAATTGAAATTTTATTTTGATAAATAAACCATGTTATGAAGCTGAAATTCAAATTTTTATTCGATCATAGTATTAAAAAAAATACCTCTAATATAATATAGATCATAAGTTTTATCTGCTTTTTGATTTGTTGCTTGGTGAGAAGGTTGATTGAATTAGTTGGTTTCTTCAAGTGATACGTGGGTCTCAAGAAATCTAATAAAATAAATAGTGATAATGTGTTGATTTGCTTCTACAGTCTACAGAAAGGTTGACTGAATCACATGGCTTCTTGCGGTACGGGGGTCTTAAGAAATCTTCCACTGAAGTGAAAAAACAAAATGTATGTATTTTTAAAGTAAGAATAAAATTAAAGTGAAAAATAATTAAAAATGTATTGTTGAATTTATGAGATATTTTAATTAAAATAAAAAAAAGCATGTAGTTTTACTCTCTAAATTTGCATCTAACTCCCAACAAAATAATAACAAAAAATGCTAATTAATCAAATACACGAGTACAATTTTTTTTTAGTTTTATCTATATCTTAATCTAATGCTCCTATAGAAATCTTATATTTTTTTTAGAGTGAAACATCAATATGCTTTGTATTGGGGTCAATTTCTTTAGTTGCCAAAGCCAACCTTTCGGAGAAAGTCTACATAAATATAATATTTAATAAATTGTTCGATCTGAGTAACAAATTTCGTTACGACAACCTCCGAAACACGAACACGATGGATTAAGATTCGATGTACGTATCTGCATTATGCTGTGTGGGAGAAAGGGACCATTCGGGTGGGGAAAAAAATTCCACTCTTTAGGTTTTTCACTTTTTTTAGGTTAGAAAATTATTAACCTTTTTTAATACTCTCTTCAATGTTTTTTTATTAAGATCCAAAAATAAGGAATTAGATTTTTTTAGGAGAAATTTTATATTTTAGTTTAAAATGATTTAATTAATACATTTTGTGATGATTTTGAATAAAAAAAATTTAAAGCCTTAGATATAAGATAAATGATAAACTAATGAAGAAACTTAATTATAATAACTAAAAAAAGTTGAGGAATTAAATTTACCAAACAGTTATTAGCTAACCAAATCACACATTAATTATAGTAAAGAGATTAAGAGTATAATAAAGTTAAAAGTCTAGCTTGGTCATTTAAAAATAATAATAAATTAATAAGAACCTAACAGCAATGTAAAGTTCAAAATTTTTCAGCGGTAAAAGCTCTGAACAGTTAAAATTAAAAGCTCTTGTTATGTTGACAATCATTGTTTAATATAAGGGTATCATAAAATTTGAAGCTGATCCTCTAATATTCCATAATCATCATTTTTCCTATTCTGTATTGTGAGTTTGAATGGAAAAATAATTATTCCCTTAAATATAGGGAGAAATAGTCTCTATTGTTTATTGGAAAGCCCATGTTTGTGAGAAAGATTTATAATATTATTCAATTTAACGCATGTTTTTTACCCTCCAAATTTTATATCCATATTACATCCTTTTCTATTTTTGTTTTCTTCTTTTTTTGATATCACACTCATCTATGGACTAACAAAATATTTGTGTTCTTGCTTTTCTTTCTTTGCTCCATTTATGTTCATAATGCAATTTTTTTTTTTAAACCTCGCATTCTCAACATTTTTGAAGTTTTGCACAAGTTTCTTTAAGTTAATATTGGGCACAAGTTTTGGCAAGAAAAACCGAGCCCTTGGACTTGCTCTGTTCTAGCTAGTGTTAGCTGAATGAAACCAAATGAAATTATTGAAAACAAAATTTATGCAACACATAAAAACAGATTGGCTATAATAATTAATGAAAGGAACACACGATTCATTGAATGAACTTACAACACAAACGGGATGTATACGACAGGACACGTTTATTCTAGATCATTTTGTCTATTACATAAATATATGTACGTAATGAATTTCAAACATTAAGAAAAAAAACAAAAAACATCTAATCCAAAGTATTGTTACTTTGCCCAGTTGATAAACTTTTCAACATTTTTTGAAGATTGACCACCTTTAGCTATGTTCTTCAATGTCAATTCCTTTAGTTTCAAGGAACTCGCCTTAATGTCTTCATCCCCAAGTAATTGCTCCACCTTCTTCCTTATTTCTTCCTTTGATATTATTCCATTTTCATCTTTGTCTAATCCCACTCCAACCTTCCACACATCACAAATATATGACTTGTTAACAAGTTGATCCTTAGCAAATGGCCAACACAAGAAAGGTATTCCACCACATACGCCTTCTATAGTAGAATTCCAACCACAATGACTAATAAAGCAAGCAATGGCAAGGTGGTTCAATATCTTCTTTTGTGGTGCCCAACCTACAATTCTTCCTTTACTTCCATGAAATTCAACAGGGTATGCATTGTTTACCTTGTTGTCATTACTAGGACGTACAACCCAAAGAAAAGGCTTGTTAAGAAAATCAAGTCCAAGAGCTAATTCTTTAAATTGGTTGGGCTCCACTACTGCCAAACTTCCAAAGGAAACATATATGACAGAATGAGGCGGCTGTTGATCTAACCATTCTAAGCAAGTTGTGTCCTCTTGCCAAAATGAACTTTTGTTGCTCTCACTTGCCATCAAGGGGCCAATTGGTAGGAACCTTGGTGATATGCAAAAAGCAGCTGGTTCAAGGTCATAGGTAGAGTTGCAAAGCCACCAATCTCCTAACGTCATAGTTTGCATCTCATGCACAATATGATCAAAGTGTAACTTATCATGGCCGCGCCATGGTAAGTTTGAGGTGTCCATCAAAGGCATATTTGGGGAGAGTAGAATTTCTTGTTTCTTAAAGGGAATTCCTACAATGCCAAAACTATATAATGAATGCTCAAATTTTGACATAAAATTACTAAATAAATATAGTATAACAAGAATAAGAATTATTAGATATTATTCTCACCATATGAGTCTATAATCCCATCATCAATCAGCCTTGGGATGCAATCACACAAGGCCAAAGAAGTAGCTGATGCTGGCCATAGAAGAGCCCCTTTGATTCCCAACTTGTTGCCAACTTTCAAGGCCCAAGCCATACTCATTGTGACAACTATACAGGTGATCTTATTGTCAACATCCAAAGCATTGACATCTTCTATGAGCTTGGGAAGCATAGTGGGCATGTTGCTTTTGATTGAGAAAACAACTTTCTTCTGATCACTTCTATCATCTTCAGGGCCCAAACCATCTGGGAGTGTCACAAACTTTATCTCTGATCCTTTGAGGTTGTCTAGCCCAACACCACTAGTTGTGTTTAGCCGTTTGTGGCTGAACTCTGTGTTGAGAAAAGTGATTTTGCAACCATGTTTGGCAAGAAGCTGAGACAAGTGCATAAGGGGATTCACATGTCCTAGAACTGGATATGGTATAACAAGAAAGTGAGGGATACCCATGTGGTTGAAATTTTGACTCTCAAGAGAATGAGTTGTGAGGAGATTGAAAGATGCAAGTGTGAGTGATGAAATGTTCCAATTTTTGGGTAAAAGCTTGTACTTTGTTGCCATTAAAGATGAATTGACTTTTCGGCACAAGAGTACTAGGTTCATTTACTCGAATTACGAACATATGGACGCTTGTTTCGTTTTCATAGAACACGTACAAAAGCGTTAATGAAAAACGTTAATTCTTAAACAGTAGTTTTAAAAAATAATAGGAAAACTATAGATATATCAATGTTATTTATGCAACACATTCTGAAACAGTTTACACCTACAAATAAGGGAGAAAAAAAGATGTATAAGATAAAATAAGTGGCGTAATTAAGATATCAAAAAAGTAAATGATATATATATATATATATATATATATAATTGTTGTAAAAATTTATTATATGAATAACATTCATCGTATGAAAAAGCTTTTCTTTTGAAGCTCACGAAATTTATTTGATTTCATTTACGACAAAAGGAGTTGCGTTCTCTATGAATTGAAATGGTGTCGTGTTTCTCTTCATGGACAAATGCTTCGTTGTCTTAGATTGCTTTTCCTTGGGCGAGGGTGGTCACAGAGATCGGATTCCCTACCGTAATAGTGACTGAACAAAAATAAAATCTTCAATCTTAATTTTATTTTCATCTATTAAAAATTTTATAATACAAAATTTGAACCATTGCATCATGACTGCACGATCCAATAGTTAGATTATAAGTGCTGGAATCCAGGTCTCTGCTCACCAATAAATAGCATGTTTCAATTCAAATTTAAAGGATATGAATAAATTATTTCAACGCCATTAGTAATAATTTTTGTACTTCATTCACATTTATAATTTTTTAATGTGTTTTCAAATATATCTTTAATAAATTTTGGAGATTTTTTTGGGCTAAAATCAACTAAAGTTGTAATTTTTAGTAAATTATTGTCCTAAACCCTAAACTTAAACATACGATGTAATTGACTATATCAGGTTTATTCAGCTCAAGTCATTAAATTACAAAAATATTCAATTTGTTCATACGACAGTTATTGTAAAATCAACAAATAAAGGGGGGAAAAATATGAGAGCTTGAGTTGGACGGATTTGCAATATCAAGTTAGAAGAATGCGATAATATTAATCTTTGTAAAACATTAATCTTTTTGTCTATCCAGTTTATTAAAATGCGATAATATTACCTGACTGTTACTTTTATGATTCATGTCAAGCCTATATAATATTAAAATTTTAACAGACCTTATATAATTAAATAATTTTAATCTTACATCACAAGGTCTTACATTCTATTATGTTTACCTAGCGAGTTAGCTAGGTTCATTTCAAAACCATTTGGTAAACGAAAATTGATTTATTATGTGATATTTTCATTGAAAAAGAGAACAGAAGAAAACATTAAATAGGTCGAATTCTATTAAAGTTCGTATGGCCCCGTTTACGGTGTTATATACATTCGAGGATTCATATAAAAATAGATATACATATAGGGATATTAAACAGTTAAGATCTTATTTAAAATTTTTATGTTTATCTTTATATATTTTCACATTATTCTATTTCAGAAAATTGAATCAGATTCAGAAAAATCATAGCTCCATTAGCTGGAATAATATAAGGACCTACCCAGGAAAATTATGCCAATCTCCTGCAAGCCTATCAAACCGCACTGTTCCACCGATTGTAGGCACCGCAACAGTACTTAATTTGCATGAAAATTTTGCTTCATTGTTTAATTTTACTTTTGCCTCTTATACTCTTATTCTTTTATTGCATAAAAAGAGTGTGAGTGGTGCTTGTGTCAAATTGAATTAAACTTACGAGTCTTCCACTGTTATTATCTTATTATATAAAAATTTATATAAAGATATAAATAGACAGATACATGCATATACCCAATATCTGTAAAGAAGAATCGTTCAATGTTAGCTTCATTTTCATATTTTGGCAGCAATGATTGTATACTCATGTTTAAAAAGATATTTAAAAACAATCTTTCTATGTATATAGGTGCTTTTGTTTCGTCTTTAAGAACGCCAATGTTTTTTAATATTATATCAGATATCTGACTAATCTAGATCAAGACAGGTACGATTATTATTGATATTTTTTTTTCTTTCAAACTTTACTTGCAATATCAAGATAGTGTAGACACTTTTGGAAGGACTTTTTAACCACTATACTTCTAATGTCGAGGGCTAATATCTCATCTTCGTCTATAAAAATCCTTGATTTAACTTTGAATTAGAAGGAAAGTTTGAAATTTTGCATTTCTTATCATAATTTTTTTAAAAGAATACATAGAGAATTAACTGAATCACGTAAATTCTTTTGTTATTATTCTAAAACATCTTAAAATATTTTTGACACCTATCATCTATATACTAAAATTTTGATCCACTATTTTAAGTTTCTCAGTTGAAATACATGCACACATTATGTATGAAAAGGTTTGTAAGGAGAGGAGACAAAAATTGATTGATTATTATACCTTTAACGTAAATAAGTAAAATTATTAAGCTTAAGTATTTATATTTAAAATTATTTTGTTAGTAGTCAACATATTTTAAGCAAAAATTACTTTTTTACGTTCTTTAAGATAGAAAGATTGATATCTTAAGAAAAAAAAAGAAATAGATTAAAATAAAACAGAGATAAAATAAAATATATGATGAATATAAATATTAAGAAATGAAAAATTCTACGAATTCGAATAAGTTTTGGCAAGAAAAATCATGCCTTTGGACTTGGAGCATGTTTGCACAATATCAGCTCAAAATGCTTATCTTCATTTGACTTTGATATTTGTTTATTTATTTCCTTTTCATCTAAAATCAAACTGATTTTATGATTACAAGAATCCGAATGAAGCATTCCAAAAATGTTATTCTTATCCTAATGTCTGGTGAATAAAAACCAAATGAAGTTCTGAAAAACAGCCAAGTTCGTTACAAGTTACAACAACTTCCAAACTATTACTAGTCCTCTCAGTTGATAAAATTTTCAAGATTCTTTGAACAGTGACATCCTTTAGCTATGTTCTTCATGCTCATTTCCTTCATTTTCAACGACCTTGCTTTTATGTTGTCTGTCACCAACCACTTGCTCCAATGCCAGTCCAATGCCAGTTTTGTGTATAACTATTGTCAGTCCAACCTTCCACACATTACAAACATATATATGACCTGTTACAAATAGGACATAGGAAAACGGCCAACACAGAAAAGATTCATGTTATAAATTTAAGCTTAATTCACCTATAAGGAGTATTTTTTGTTATATTCTTATGTAAAACATCTAAACAACATATTATTATGCACATGATAATTGTTTTGTGTATAACTATTGAAGATATCTTTTAGACTTCTAGTAGTTTCTTTTGGTTTTTTAATTTGTTTTTAGACTATGTATATATTGAAAAAAGATATAATATAATATATATATATATATATATGATAATAAATATAATATTATTTTTCAATTGTTTAAATAATAAAATTGCTAGATACCCATTCTACAGTATAATTGACTTTAAAGAGATTGCAAGATCCGAATGTGAGTGAGAGTTTTTTGGACACACGTTTGTGGTTGTACTTGTTTGTCGTTGAAGATGCCTTGACTTTTCGGGCACGCTAGTGAAAGTAATCGTTGTGGACTCGAATATTCTACCTCCTCTCAATGTTGAATATTAGTCAATTAAATCTCTAAAATTATCAAAATATTATTTTTAATTATGAAAACTGTCAAACTGTTGTTATTTTAATCTTGCTATCAATGTTGGACAAATCCATTCTATTGATGTCAAATATAGATACTCGTATAATCCACTTGCATCCGTATCCTAAACATATTTGTTAATTATTATTTAATTATTAGCGATATTTTTTTATATTTTATAGAATTTATTAAAATATTTTCTTATTTTTAAGGATTTTATTTCTGTAGAATTGTTATTTGACTAAGATCAAATCAATGGTATCATGAAATATTTAATATGCATATAAAAGTAATAGTATATTTTAGTTAATATATATTCTCATACTTATATTATAATCATATTGTATCCGATACTCGCCATGCAGTACAACATAGCTTGCTATTGACATCATTACCTTTTTCTGCACACCCATCTCACTCTTCTTGTATCCCTGAAATTTTGTATGTGTTCACTGTTCAAAAACTCATATAGGTGCTTATCAATGACATTGCAGGTGATGCTTTTGCAATGGTTTCCATGTGTTTAATTTTCCGTGATTTGAAGTACTCTAGTAGATGCAATAATTAGTGCTATTACTATAATACATTTGTTGAAAGCCTGAATGAGGAATTTAGGATTACTCTGTGTAGAGAGACAATCGACACTCTCAGAAGTTGCATAGTGTAGAGTTTACAATCATGTTTTAACAGAATGCAGCACTCGCAATTATGAACCTTAGAAAATTTTGAAAAGGCAAACCAACCGACAACTAGCTCAACACTAGTTAATTGATTTGTTGGTAGTGTCCCTAAAATGTTATTCTTCTCCTAGTGTTGTTGAAATGAACAAAAATGTTCTTGAAAAAGGATAACTAAACCAGAACATTTTGTTACTCTGCCCAGTTGATGAAGTTTTCAAGATTCTTTGAAGAATGCCCACCACTTACAATGTTATTCATGGTTAACTCCTTCAGTTTCAACGACCTTGCTTTTACATCTTCATTATCAAGAAGTTGGTCCACCTTCTTCCTTATCTCTTCCTTAGATATTAGACCACTTTCTTTCTGGTCTAATCCAAGTCCAACCTTCCAAATATCACAAATATATGACTTGTTAACAAATTGATCCTTTGAAAATGGCCAACACAGGAAAGGTACACCACCACATACACCTTCTATAGTAGAATTCCAACCACAGTGACTAATGAAGCAGGCTATGGCAGGGTGGTTCAATATTTTTCTTTGGGGTGCCCAACCTACAATTTTGCCTTTACTTGCATGGAATTCATCAGGGTATGCATTGTTTACATTGTTATCATTACTCTGAAGTACAACCCAAAGAAAAGGCTTGTTAAGGAAATCAAGTCCAAGAGCTAATTCTTTGAATTGGTTTGGGCCCATTACTGTTGAACTTACCAAAGGCAACATATATGACAGATTGAGGTGGCTGTTGATCTAGCCATTCTACGCAAGTTGTATCTTCTTGCAAGAATGAACTTCTGTTGTTGTCACTTATCATCAAGGGGCCAATTGGTAGGAATCTTGGTGAGAGGGAAAATGCTGCAGGCTCAAGATCATGTGTAGTGTTGCAAAGCCACCATTCTCCTAACTTCAAAGTTTGAATCTCTTGTGCAATGTGATGAAAGAGGATCTTACCAAGGCCACGCCATGGAAAATTTGCCGTGTCCAACATAGGCATATTTGGGGCCAGCTGAATTTCTTGTATTTTGGTGGGATTTCCTGCAATGCCAAAGGAAATTAACTGAGAAATTAAGATCAGCCATTGGGAGCTGAAGTTATAGATAAGATTTTCTGATAATTCTCAAACGTAAGTGCTGGGATTAGAATCAAGAAGAGCATTTAATGTTACATTTGGCTTGATTCTCCTAAGTCTATGTTTTTTACAAGCTATACTAAACAATTGTTTAGTGAAACATAAAATATTAGAACAATGCTATTTATCTGATATGGATACATGTGGCAGCAAAGAAACAAGTGGTGGTGGAACAGAAAATTCACTTGTCCATAATGTATGTCATTTTTGTAGTGAGTTTCATTGTGTTCATTCATACATATTAGTAGGTGTTAATTAGTAATTATACTCTTAAAAGTTTTGACATGGAAGTCCTAGAGATTATCAAAACAATTTATATCATAGCAAATAAATGACCTACTTAGATACATTTTGGTATTCTATATCTGAATATCAAAACCACCATCATCCTCCAAAGTTATCCTACTTCTAAAAGCAGCTCTTTTCAGATGTTTTCAAAGATAACAGGAAAATTTACCCATTTATGTATAATATACAACAAAATAGCATTTTTTTATACTGAAACAAACTGGTTCAATAATTATCAGTCCCTTCTCAGAAACATACGTATTCTTTATTAACTTTGTGAATGTAACAAGGAGTAAATTAAAATATCTGTAGTGTCACAATGAACAGAAAATATGATTCTTACCATCCGAATCAATGATTCCATCATCAATCAACCTTTGGATACAATCACATGTGGCCAACGAAGTTGCAGATGCAGGCCATAGAAGAGATCCTTTGATACCCAATTTGTGGCCAACTTCCAAGGCCCAAGCCATATTCACTGTGACAATTATGCAAGTGATCTTATTGTTAACATCCAAAGCATTGGTATCTTGTATGAGCTTAGGAAGCATAGTAGGCATGTTGCTTTTGATTGAGAAAATAACTTTCCTATGGTCACTTCTATCATCTTGAGGGTCCAAACCATCTGGGAATGTCACAAACTTTATTCTTGAACCCTTCATGAGATTGTCTAGTCCATCACCTGCTGATGTGTTTGCTCGTTTGTGGTTGAACTCTGTGTTCAGAAAAGTGATATTGCAGCCATGTTTGGCTAGAAGCTGAGACAAGTGCATGAGGGGATTCACATGTCCTAGAGATGGATATGGAATGACAAGAAAGTGACGGTTAGCCATCTAGCTCAAAATTGGCTTTAAGAATTCAGAGGATGAAGTTTTAGAAGATTGTAAGATCAAGTGTGAGGTATTGTTCCTTGGGCAAAGATTTTGTAGTATGTTATCATTCAATATATAAGTGTGAGCTATCAAAATTGTTTATACATTATAATATTACTATAATACTTTTATACTATTTTTTATATTTATTTTTTATTATATTATCTATCACGTCTTTTTTTTTTTCCTTGTTTTATCCCTCAATTCATTTAACACCTAATTTAACAGGTGTCAAGCAAAAATTTCACCATCATAATAGACTGAGAACACGAATATGAAACTAAGAACTTTAAAAAAGTTTTTATTTGGTTTCATTGACCAAATGTAAAATGAATATTAATGTAAATATATTTACGTTGCATTACATCGTTTGTTGCAAAGTACAATTATATATATTGAATGTAAAATATTTAAATGCACAAAAACATGTTAAAGAAAGTCCTTATCCAGTCACGCAAATCTATGTGTGAAACTTCTGCAAACTTATGAAATCACACTGCTTCACCGATTAGAGCGCCACAGGGCTACTTAGTTTGCAAGACATTTGTTTATTTGACCCTATCATCACACTGCCCAAGCATTAATCTTTGCTTCACTATCGATGAACAGGTCGATAAAAGACACGAAAAAAAAAAAATACGTGATAAATTGTTTGTTCATTGACAAGATGCACTCTTACTGGCTCAACCTGACGTAATTTAATTTTAAAAAAAAAAAGGCATAGTTTAAACTACATAAAAATTGTTGCTAATCAAGAGTTCGATTCTGATTGTGAAGGTAAAAACTTAGTGGTAATTATTGTCCAATAAATATTTATTGTAATTCCATTACATAGAAGTTAATAATTTAATTCTCACAAAATATATTTGCTCAATACTTAAGTCTAATTCACTCTTAAAAAGGTAACTCATAACAAAAAGATCACTCTAACTCTAAGAGTAATTTCTCTGTTCCAAACTAACGTAACACATCTTAATAATAACCAATATCAAATATAAAATTATAAACTTCCATTTGCTTTTTCTGTTTCCATCACGTCAAATTTCAAGATGATGGGAAAAGCTTTGTTCACAACATCAGAGCGTCAAACAGAACATCCTCATCCTTTGAGCCACTCCTCAAACTTTCTGAAATTCTCATAGGATTGCCCTCCAACTGCATTGTTATTTATGATCATCTCCTTAAGCTTTTGACACCTTCCCCTTAAGTTCTCATCTCCAAGAAGTTGATCCACTTTCTTCTTTATCTCCCAACGTGATATCAACCCTTTCTCATCCAAATCAAATCCCAACCCAACATTCCACATATCACAAATATAAGCCTTGTCAAATAGTTGGTCAGCAAAATAAGGCCAACACAAGAAAGGTACCCCATTGGACACACCTTCCATGGTAGAATTCCAACCACAATGACTAATGAAACAAGCTGTGGCAGGATGGCTTAACACCTTCTGTTGAGGTGCCCATTTCACAATTTTACCACAAGTGCCTTGAAATTCATCTGGGTATGCGTTTTTGGTGCCTCCACTTGCATCCTCACGCACAACCCAAAGAAAAGACTTGTTTGTGAGTTCAAGTCCAAGAGCTAGTTCTTTGAATTGATCAGGGTCAAAAACGGTGAAGCTACCAAAGGCAATGTATATCACAGAACAAGGTGATTGTTGATCAAGCCAAGTCAAGCATGATAGGTCTTCTTCCCAGAATTGTCCTAGTGATCTAAACTCATCATCAATCTCCTTCAGTGGACCGATTGGTAGGATCTTTGGTGATAAAGATAATGCTCCAAGTTCAAGTTCACTATTGGAGTTGCAAAGCCACCAATCTGTTAATTGTGAATATTGCATCATATTTGCAATGTAATTATATATAATCTTCTGCTCGGTTGAGTCTCCTATGCAGCACCATGGTATGTCAGCTGTATCCATAACTGGCATTCTTGGGGATAGCTGAAATTTTCCTTTTACAATTGGGAATCCTGCAGTGGTAACCAGAGGGAACTAGATGAAGTATTTATACACACATACCCGTTACATGCATAAGGTTTGAGCAGTTTATCTTGTAAGATAAATAACTTTATCTTAAACAAATTAATAGAATTTTATTTATAAAAAAAATAATACAACTTTTAATATAATGTTTTAGTTTTTTTAGTATATCCAAGATGAAGTTATTTATTTGTGGAAGAACTTGAGCAATTCTGGTAATGTTATTATCATAAATGCTACAGTTGCATTACCTTTAAGGGATAGGTTTGCATTCAGAAAATTTAAAGTTTCTTTTCTTGAATGGATACATTTGCAATAAGAAAATGAAAGGGCATTGGAGGATCATCTAGCGTTTACATGTGGTTCCGTAAAGGTAATTATGAAAAAACTTGACAACATTCACCGATGAAGAAACGACCAACAACAACTTGACTTCTAATGTTAGACAATCAAGATCAAACTAAGGACGTAAGTGAAGTGAATTGTTTATGAACAAAATTTAAATATTATAGCATGTGTATTAGGATTAATTTCCGATTAAAATCATTTTTTTATCTCAATAATTGCTATTGATTATAGTTTTTAAAATGAGATGTCAATTTTTATAAGATTAATTGTTATTAGTTGAACAACACTAAGAATACTTATAACAATATATCTAAACTTGTTAATTTAACTAAATAATTTTTTAAAAGATATTAACATTAATGATTTATAAATAACTAAATGTGCATTACTTAAAGATTTAAGAATTGTTTGTTTTATAGTTAGAATATCATTTTTTTCACTTTTCAATACAAAACATTTTTTCTAATAAAAGTATGTCATACAAATTAATTTTTATATATCTTAAAAATATTCAGTGATTTAAATTTAATTCTATTAAACTTTAAAACAAACAAACACTTAATAATTTTACTATCTTATTTTTATTTATCTAATTTTATTTTTTAAAAACTAATTAAACTTTAAGGCTCTTTTTAATAAATATAATAACAGAATATAATTAAATATTTTTTCATCTTATCAATTTTTTAGTGTTTATTTAATTAATTAGAAATGATTAGTTATATCTTACTTTCTAATATAAACTTTATCTTCTAATAGAGTTTGAATTAAAAATAGTTGAGATAAAATAACATAATATATTTAATTTATTATTTTGATACATATAAAATAAGATCATATATATCTTACTTTTATCATTTTTTATTTTTTATTTGATTCAAATATTTTATCATTTTTATTCCGTCTACTAAGCATGTACTGAAATGATAACGATCAACCTTTGAATGAAAAACACAACATCTGGGTCATTAAAATTTCATTTTTTTAACTCTTCAGTAATAAAATGCATGCTAAATAACAAATTAACAAACCTAACAACTAATTCAACGAAAACTTTGATAATTAAAGGAGAAAATAATCAAGACATACATAAGTTAAGTGACTTAAATTCAAGCTTCATATTTTTAACTAAACAAGTTAAATTCTAAGTTTTGAATTAAGTTAATATAATGAAAAATGTTTGCTTATTTTCTGTTTCTGAGGCAAACTTAAAACCCAACTAGAATGAAACTAAAAACGAGAGTAGTTGAGCAGTCACTGATGAGCGTTTATATATCCTCCGTTATCTCCATCAAATGTAAATGAGAAAGTAACACAATAATTCCCCTATTATATAATTACGAAAAAGGAAATAACAGCACAATAAGTAGAAAAGTGCATTTCACCAAATAGTCCGATGGCACGATTCTAGCTATTAAGACTTAGAATTTGTTTTTATATAAAAAAAAAATTTAAAATAATTTAATTTTAGCTTTTTTAAAAAAAATCACTTCAAATAACTTTTTTTTAGAAGTTATATAAGTAAATTTTTATTAATAATTTTAACATTTAATGGTATTAATACATTGAATTCTATAATTAAAAAAAAGTTATTATATATAACTTTTTTTTCTTGCAACAGATTAGAAAATTGTTTTTTTTTCAAAAATTGAGACAAATGACCTTAAATTCATAACTGATGAAAATGTCAATGGCTAACTTCTGATTACCAAATGTCTTACCATCACTGTCTATAATTCCATCTTCAATGAGTCTTGGAATGTTGTCTTGCAAGACAAATATAGCTGCTGAACAAGGGCAGAAGAGAGCACTTTTGATTCCTAGCTTATTAGCAATTTCCAAGGACCATGCCATATTCGCATCAGCAACTATGCCAGTGATTTTCTCACTACCATTATCAAAAGCATTAATATCCCTTATAACCTTCTCAAGCAAACAAGGCATGGTGCTTAAGATTGCCATGCATAAACTAGCCAAGTCATTTCTGTCATCATGAGGGCCTAAACCATCTGGAACAGAGATTAGTCTAAATCCAAATCCATCATGATTAACATGCTCATTTGTCGCACTCACCTTTCTCTTGTGGTTGAAATCTGTGTTGATAAAGGTGACTTTGAAGCCTTGTTGGGTTAGTTTTTGAGAGAAGTGCATGAGAGGATTGACATGCCCTTGAGCTGGAAATGGCAAAACTAGTACATGTTTCATACCCATCTTAATCTTAACTAGTTTGTGAGTGAGTAGAGAAGACAAATGAGAGGTAGTGGTTCTTATTGAGATGGAGAAGAAGCATTTATAACGATGCTGGAGTCTGCAGATAGAGAAGGATTGAGAAGCTGAGCTCTTTATTAAATGATTTGAAAAATAAAATTATATATATTCTCTAAACTATGTATATCCTTAGGAGAGATAAAATTTTAAAAATGACCACCGTACGCAGCAAAGTTTTTCGTTTTAATTTTTTTTATTATTAATACATAAATATATTTCTACACTTATGAAATAAAAGGAGGGTGATATAAGTATAAAAAATGAACAAATAAAAGATGAAATAAAAAAAAGATAAATTTATGATAAAAGAATGTGACAAAAATTAAAATTAATTACTAAAATATCAACTTGTTTTTCTTTTACTTTTACTTTTAAATATTATATAAAAAGTAGTGAGGTAACTTATTGTTACTTTTACTATTTTTTATATAATTTTTTTAAAATGAAAATAAATGATATTAACAAAAAGAAAGAATAGATATGTTATTTAATAAATAATTTTTATAAATTTTAAAAATTTTCTTTTACTGTTAGTTTCTTGTGTTTCTTTTTCAGTAAAACCTAGAAAGGTTGGGGTTAAAATTCTAAGAAGATATTTGGTAGGAAGATTTTTCTAAATTTTGTAAGAATCTTATATTAATAGATTATATTTTCATGTTTGGTACAAATTTTAAAACTATAATAATTTTATTTTTTAATTATATTTTCTATCAAAATATTTTTATGGAACTTTTTACCAATTAAGAAAAGTTTAAACTATATTCATTAAAACAATTATAAAAATCTCTTAACCATAGCAAACATATTTTCATTCTTAAATTATGGTGTGTCCCATGTGTTGAGGAAACATAAAGAATGCGGTGAGGCAATGTTCAATGAATTCGAATCAATTTTGACAAACACACCTCATACATGATCGCCATCTTTATCTATATAGTTTTATATCTCAGTATATAATCTGTCAATCATAATTTTTAAATAAAATATCTTGAACCAAAATGTGTTTAGATATTATTTTTTATATATTGAGTAATTTTATAATTTAAATTTTTATGAATTATTTTTAAATTTTAAAAATTATATTTCTTTAAATTAATTTTATTTAATATAATAAAATATTTATTGTAAATGCGTTTATGTAACGGCTTTCGGATTATGAAAGTGATTCTTGTGATGAGAAAGGCTTAGGTGACTGAGACTGGTGAAAAAATTTAACGTGGAAAGCCCAATAGCATTTTGGACTGTTTGGTAAATAGAACAAAATAAGAAAAGATTCAAAGCTATTGCTGGATAGTAACAGAACAAGAGTAAGATAAATAACTATTTTCTAATTTTATTAGATCAATTGTTGTTTATTCAAATAATGATACATTTTAATGAATAAAATTAGAAAAGTAAGAAAACTTTAATTTAACCCCTCTCTTTTTCTCCTTTTTTTATTTATATTTTATTGGTTAAATTAAAAAATTGTATTGAGTAATGTGTGTGTTGGGCATTGACCTCTGTTTTTATCTGAAAAACAGTTCAAAATGATAAATTTACTTTTAAGTGAAAATAAGTCTAAATAGGTTAAAAGATGTCTCATTTTATTGAGAGAGAAATAGAGAGAGGAAGGAAGGGAATATTTATTACACTATAATAATAAGATTAATTTTAATAACATCATTAAAACTTATTTAAGTACTTGAAAATAATAAAATTTATTATAAAAATATTTATTACATAACTTTTAAATGAACTTTAAAAACTTATATTTATAGTTTCTCAATAATAATAATGACAATTAATGAAAGTAAAAAAAACGACTCCTGAAGAGAATTTTATTTAAAGCATTATTACTTCGCCCAGCTGATAAACATGTTGAGATTCTTTGATGATTGACCACCTTCTACAATGTTGTTCATGGTCATTTCCTTCAAATTCGAAGACCTTGCTTTTATATCTTCATCGCCTAGCAGTTGCTCCACCTTCTTCCTCATCTCTTCCCTTGATACTAATCCATTCTTATCCTTCTCTAATCCCAATCCAATCTTCCACACATCACAAATGTAAGACTTATCAACATATTGGTCAGTGGCAAATGGCCAACACAAGAAAGGTACACCACTACATATACCTTCTAGGGTAGAATTCCAACCACAATGACTAATGAAGCAAGCAATGGCTGGATGATTCAATATCTTTTTTTGTGGTGCCCACCCAACAATCTTACCTTTACTTCCATGGAAATCTTGTGGGTATTCATTGTTTACCTTATTGTGATTGCTACGACGTGCAACCCAAAGAAAAGGCTTGTTAAGGTGATCAAGTGCAAGAGCTAATTCTTTGAATTGGTTGGGTTCTACAATTGCCAAACTACCAAAGGACACATATATGACTGATTGAGGTGGTTGTTGATCTAACCATTCCAAGCAAGTTGCGTCTTCTTGCCAAAATGAACTTTTGTTATTGTCACTTTCCATCAAAGGACCAATTGGTAGGAACTTTGGTGATAGGGAAAATGCTGCTGGCTCAAGATCATATGTAGTGTTGGAAAGCCACCATTCTCCTAACTCCAGAGTTTGCATCTCTTGCACAAGATGATCAAAGAAGAACTTACTAAAGCCACGCCATGGAAAATTTTCTGTGTCTATCATAGGCATATTTGGAGAGAGTTGGATCTCTTGTTTTTTGGTAGGACGCCCTACAATACCACCAGAAAATCATGAATAAATGTCTCTGCTTGCACTATTAATTAACAGAAAATATGAAACTAATATTTCAATGTTTTAATTTGTGTCTATTCAGTTTATGGTTAAGTCATGTCCCAAACCTCTATCAAGCTTTACAATGATATTTTAGATCTAACGGAGGTTTGAGAGAATTAAACTTAGAGTTTGAAGTGCTACGGCACTTAGCAGCAAAATGTCTTTCTGATAATTATAGCAAATGTTTCAAGTAATTAAGATTTAGGGTGCATTCAGATAAACTATATAGTTAAATTAATCACTGACAAATGTTAATCAATGCTCTAAGAGCACTTTAAATAATTAAAAACAATGTTTTTTTGTTAAAAACATAATAACTATATTATTTTCTGTAATTTCTAATGCAATTTAACACAATCTTCAATAAAAATATTATCTTTCTGATTTCTTAATTAACTTATATACTGAAGACACTGATTAGCAAGACCCTCAAACATTTATATAACCAAATTTTATCATTGAAATAAATGATAAAAGTTATTGAAAAGCTTATTAAAATAAACAAAAATAATAATATAAATTAAATAAATTATCATAAATTATTTCAAACACTACCTGAAAAAGAAAAAAAAAATTACCTTCAGAATCGATAATTTGATCATCAATGAGCCTGGGGATAGAGGCAGCACAGACCAACGAAGTAGCAGAGGCTGGAAATAGCAGGGCCCCTTTGATACCCAAATTGTGGCCAACTTCCAAAGCCCAACCCATATTTATAGTAACAACTATGCAAGTGATTTTATTCTGAACATCCAAAGCATCAATATCTTCAATAAGCTTTGGAAGCATAGAAGGCAAGGTGCTTTTGATTGAAAGAAGAACTTTGGGTATATCACTTCTATCATCTTCAGGGTCCAACCCATCAGGGAGTGTCGCCACCTTTATCTCATTGTTCTCTTGCCCTGCACCATTGCTTCGTTTGTGGCTGAACTCTGTGTGTACAAATGTGACTTTGCAACCACGTTTGGCCAAAACATGAGAGAATTGCATGAGGGGGTTCACATGTCCTTGAACTGGGAATGGTATACAAAGAAAGTGAGGGATACCCATTGCGTTAATTGTTGATGCTAACAAAAAAAATTATTCTAAGATTCAAGTGTGTGATTTTTATTTATTTGTATTGCACCTTATAGTTGTGTGTGTATGCTCTTACATGTCTTTGGACAAGTCAAAGTTGGTGGATTTGAAGCCTCTGTTATGATCAATTGTTTTGAAGGGTCTACATATTATTCGCCGAAGGTAACTTTCATATTTTCTGGCATGCATGCAGTCGCCAGTTTTGAACGTTGAAAAGCTTCAGGGTTTTTTAATTAGTATTTTAAGGAATTAAAAAATAAAAATTATTAAAAGTTTCACAAGTTCTCAATTCTTATAACAGTTTATCACTAAACCTCTTAAAGTCTGAGTTAAATAAAGTGATAGAATGTTATAAGTTAAATAAAGATGACAAGATTTAACATTTTTCATATATATATATATATATATATATATATATAAAAGATGTAATTTAACCTTATTTTTATTTTGATAATATCTCTTATTTATTTAAAAGTTTAATTTTGATGTACACCAATGAAAAAAAATACTCCTATATCCAACCACCCATTAAATACTATGCAAAAACATAAAATGTGTTATACTGATAATATACAAAATTAAATATACCTTTCATAATAATAAATATATGAAGAGTTTATATTTATGCATTCTCAATCTAAAGTTTTTCATTGTCAAATAATAAAAAATATACAGTAAATATATCTTTTAATTATAATTAAATAATAATATAAAATCCATACACAAACAATATTCAAATTAAATTTATATATTATAACACTGAAACCTTTCTCTTATTTTTAAAATTTTTATGCTAAGCATTGTTTTCTGTAAGTCTCAACTTATGCATTCAAAACATTTTAAATATTTATTTTTATATTATTTTTCTCTTCCTAATTTCACTAACTTATAATTTTATATTCATTGTTTTTAAATACTATACTTTTATACATTAAATTAAAATATAATATTTTTAAAGTAATTTAATCTCCTGATATATTATTCCAAAAAAATAACACCTAATATTTTTAATATTTTATTATCCTTGTAGTTAATTTTTAAATAATTCTGAATATTTCATAATATTAAACGTTGCTTAAATATATATTGGTGTGTATGAGTAACTTCGTCATTAAATAAAGATGAAGTTACCTATTTTAAGAGAGGAAAAAAGTATAATGAAAAATATTTTATCCTCAATAACAAAGATTTATTCTATTAAATAATAATAACTTTTATAAAATATTGTATAAATAATAGTATTTTAAATTTGAAGGAAATCATAAAATATTAAATTAATTAAGATTTTTAAATATAATATTTATAATGCTAAATTTTGAATTTTTATTATATATTTTAAGCTTTTATATGAATTAATTATATATAGTTTTATAATTTTATATTTTTAAAGTTTTACTTAAATTTAAATATGGTACAGCATTGAGCATAAGATACGTGCATGATACAGAATCGGGGACAATATTAGTCAAGCGTAATAGCTGACGAGGTGGACTCTTAAGTTTAGTGCAATTTGAAGTAAACTTTGAAAAGTAAGAGACCTTATGATTTACGGTTGACGAAAACACAAAAATTAGGGATAGCATCTGTGCAAAACATAAGATTATTCTTTCACTTTTCTGTCTCTATATTTTATTTTTCTTTCTATTTTCACCTCCATTTCTTGTCTTGGTTTTTTTCTTAACAAAATTTAGGTGCAATTTTTAATTATCATTTTTATTTGCTAATTAAAATTAGTTTTATTAAATACAAACCTTTTATTAAACGTCAATTTTTAAAAAGTCAAAAGTAAAATAAATCAATGAAAATACTAAAATATGTTTTAAAAATTTTTTGAAAAAATAAAATCTTCTTTCTCATTTTCAAATTTACCGTGAAAGACTATCTAGTCTCATTTCTATTCTCAATAGATACAGAGCCAGTGCAGTTAACATGGAAACTGCGTGTGCAGTTCTTTGTTCGTTTAAGCCAATTTGATAAGGTTTAAGCAATTAATTTTTGCTTAAGCTCATATGCACTAGCTTAAGCGCATGAAGGCTTAAGCAAGTAATACATGCATGGAGTGAGACAGTGAACTACAGCGAGTGCATGATGCCCTTAATCTAAAATGTACGCACTTAAGTGAAAAATAACAGAGAGCTTACCTCCCAGGATTACAAATTGGCTTAAGCATATTTGATTTGACTTAAGCTGATGAGTTGTGAGCTTAAGCACACATTTGTAAGGCTTAAGCGAGTAAATGATGAGCTTAAGCGATACCGTAATGACTTAAGTCTAAAAAAACAGATAGCACACTTTTCAAGATTACACTCTTACTTAAGCGTGCATGGTTTGGCTTAAGAGGATGAACCAAAAATTGCATAAAAATAATATAGAGAGAATGCTCTTTTGGACTAATAAACTAGCTTAAGCTATTACAAAATGACTTAAGCGAACAAATATCAGCTTAAGCGAATATGATTTAGCTTAAGCGAACATTGTGAGCTTAAGCGAGTATTAGGGGCTTAAGCAAATATGCAGAAAAAATGAAAAAAGTAACTTAAATTGACAAACATGGATACACCATTTCTGAAAATAAAATTATTTGTCCTTTACATAATTATTTTTAACAAATAGAAATAAAATAATTAAAATATAACAACTTTTAATTATTAATCAAGGATTGAATGAGTTGTATCATCTAAAGTTCCTGAAAAAAAAACATAAATCCATAAAAAAAAAATTATACAACGAAGTGAGAGAAAGAATTAAATTTTCATTGTGAAATTTAATAAACTTATGGTCAATAATGTAGTAAAACTAAATTAGTTATTCAAAGCCTGAGGAGGATGATAAAATGGAGGTGTTGAACAAAATTTTATTTTTCTATCACTTTTCACCTCCATTTCTTTCCTTGATTTTTTTCTTAACAAAATTTAGGTGCAGTTTTTTTATTATTGTTATTATTTGCTAATCAAAATTAGTTTTATTAAATATAAATCTTTTATTAAATGTCAAATTTTAAAAAGTCAAAGTAAAATAAATCAATGAAAATACTAAAATATGTTTTAAAAATTTTTTGAAAAAAAAAATTTTATTCCTTATCTCCAAATTTACCGTGAAAGACTATCTAGTCTCACCTCTATTCTCACATAGATATATCAGTTCAAAGAAAAATTGTCATTCTACGTGTAACTTATATGTGTTAGCTATGATTAACTTTTAAAACAATCTAAAATATTTGTCATGTCTTAAACCATTTAGTATAACACCAAGTTAATAAATAAAATAAATTTTATTCAAAAATATAATTTTTTATTTTTTTTTTATAGGCAAAACAAATCTTATTAAAAAGAGTTCAAGGGGAACTCAAAACTCATATACACAAAAAATTACTTACTCAGAGAAATAAAAAGTAAAAATATATTTATGCAAAATTAAGACAGATGCAATTTCGTGGGTTCAAATACTAATCAGCTAACATAATAGCTTCTCCCTTACTAACAAATGAAAACCATTTCCAGGATCTCAGAATAATAGAATCTAAGACTTCCCTCTCATCCAAAACACCATTGGAAAATATAATTCTATTTTTATGCAACCACAAAGACCACACTGTACTTACCCAGATAATTAATAAGCATATTCCTTCTCTTTTACTACAGCCAACACCAACTTTTTAATGAAAAATAAAGAAAACATCTTGAAATTTATATTAAAATAAACAATATACAGGTGTATTATTTTATTCTATTGGTGTGAGCTGTTATTTTCACCCATAGTCCCTTGAACATTACTTGCATGTTTTAAGTGCAATATAACTAGGTTTGTTGTTTTTTTTTTCTTTTTCAAGGACTTATATGTATTTTATTAAAGTATTAAGGATTAATCTATAAATATAGAAAAACCTATATATATACATATGAAAGAAAAAACTTTTATTATCAGTAGGCAAATTTAATTGAAAATTTTCTATTATTAGTTAATTTCCAGTAAACATGATCCTATTCACTAGCAAGGGTAGGAAAGTGAGCAGAGCTCTAATTTTGGTCCAATATAAATTAAAAAGAGTAACTTGATTATTCAACTCATCTTCAATAATAGAATAAATAGTAAAACTAGATAGTATATATTTATTATGAACCAAGATATCTTTCCAAAACCTGTACTTTTTTTTTTGTGAAAAACTACTCATGAGGGGCTATTAACTAATGAGTAGGGATGGAAATAGGCTAGGTCAGGCCGGGCTTTACCATAAATAGGTCTAGCTTATAACAAAATTATTAGGCCTGAGTTTAATCTGTTACCTGTTAAAAACTTTTTTTTCAGCCTGATTTGGCCTGTTTAGGTAGCTTAACTCGAGCTTGGAGCCTGTTAACAAAGTCTATTACAAAAAACAAATATCTTAATTTTAATGAAAATATAACTATTTTATTATTAAATTAGTTTACATATTTTTCTACTTTTCATCTGTGTTATTAATAATTATTAAATAATTGTAATAATTTTATAAATAATTTTTAAAATATTATTTAAGCACTAATTATAAATATTTCATATTAAATATATTTTTTTTATTTTTTTTATTTTTAAAATTATTAAATTATTAAATATTTTAATTTTTTTTAGAATCATATTTTATTTATTTAAAGACATCTTACATTTAATAAATAAAGTCATAGTAAACATATAAAATTAATCACAAAAGATAACATTCACAAAATTTGTTAAATCAGCTGAAAGAAAATTATTATATTTTAAAAATAAATAAATTTAAATTCAATGTAGTATATATATATATATATATATATATATATATATATATATAAAATAATTACAAAATATTTAATTTTATTTATTTATTTAATTTGTTATTTTAAATTAATAAATACATGTAAAATTAACAACACTATAACATTAATATAATATAGAAAAATATTATTGATACAATAAATTAAAATATAAATTGATAAATTATCTAATACTATTTGATGTTAAATTACTTTCATTACTATTGCAAAAATGCATAGAAGAATATGGTTGGCATTT